AATCTAATTGCATTAACTATTCCTAACACAATACTCATAATGTTTCCAAAAGAGCAGCTGAAGTATAAGAGGAGAGCTGGTATTAATAGACATTGTATCAAATCTAATCCCTGAGTGTAAAGGAGGCTTCCCATATAAGGGATCTTAAAACATACTTGGGCTGAGAAATGTTTCTTTCCTCCTCTATTCTGAAAGAGCTTTTGGAACAGTCAAGAATATTCAAATACCTTCATGAAATTTTGAAGTAAAGTAGGCAGAAGAGAGAGAAAAGAGAATCTTAAACCACACACACTTGACTGATGCTGGTGCAACATGTGAAAAAAAAATATAGGGCCACAGCAAAAGAATAGAGATCAGTTATTTGAGTCATCAACAAAAGCAAGACTTCATTCTTTTTTTAAATAGGTGTAATTGTGAATAATTAGGACCTTCATTTTAGGAGTTTCTTTAAGATAAAACAATTGGATAAAATGCAAGTGCTTGATAGGATCACTACTCTCCTGCCTGTACTTATATCACCAGTCAAAAGAAATCCTAAAAAAGAATTACTAAAATTAATCCAAATAAACTCTTTTGCAAGAAATTAAATGTGCTAGTAGACAGCTTACTGTAGCTTACTGATGAAACTGCCCTGTTTCCCCCCCCTTTTGGTATCAGACATAAAAACTTTACAATACACAGTACAAGTTTTTAACAGTTTAAACATCATGAGCTAAAACCACAATATTGGTATGTTAAACAGACTGTGTTTGTTAAGTGCTGGAAGCACTTAAGAGGTTGCCTCTTGGCCAACTAAAACATCAAGGGGAGAGATTTATTACCTTTTGCAAATTCCAGTTAAAAAACTCCTGCAGTCTTCAGCTCAAAGTCCCAAGACCAAACTAACAAGAATTGTGCTAGTCACTTTATCTCTTCATTGCCTGCCAGAAATGCTGTGGAGGAGCTGCTGAGGCTCGCTGAAAAGCAGGTGTGCCACCTCTGGAGAGGCTGCTGTTCTGCTGAACGGAGCGAACACTCTTCCACATCCTCTAGAATAGCTGGAAGCCTGTACCACATGCTTGCTGTTGTTTTGTGTCATGTCTCTTAAACAAACTAGAAGTATTTCCAACTATATGAGCTTATATAAGTTTACATCATGAGAAAGAAATACCTCTTAAATGGAAAAGAAACTAAGTAATTGAAATCCTATTTCCTTCCTGAAAACACATACAGTCCAGAGGCAGCTGGCTCACTCAATGACAAGATGAGAAGAAGATTTCTGTGGGAGTAACTGTGTCCAACATACAGCCAAAATCTACTATTCCACAAAGATGCACTCCTGCAGAGTGTGAGACAAATAGCAAAGAAATTTTCCCACAAGAGTTAATGGAACTGAGGCAGGGAAAGCATACGGGGACTTACAAAACACGCCACGGAAATACACAGGCCCAAGACAGTGACACACAGTGAAACCACTATCATCATGTCAATGCACAAGGACCAGCGCCTCTGCTTATGGCTTAAATTCATTTCTGTTACATTCAGTTAAACTGTTTGTCTCCATTCTTACAGTGGGTTCAGCCCCACCAGGCAATTTCCTTTTCTGGCACCAGCTCCCTGTGAAACCTGAATCCCTCTCAGGTTGTTGGGCAGCATCTCTGCATGAAAGCTGAGGGGAGAAGACAAGCCAGAGGTGGAAGCTGGTGGAAGAGCTGCCAACCACAGCAGCAGGCAGGCAGCACAGCGAGGGCTGGAGGAGGTCAGAGCCTCTACCAGGCAACGGTGGAAGGAGAAGGTGCTGTGGGAAGTGATGCGGGGACGTGGCAGTGCAGGATTTGGAGGCGAGGGCTGACCCGGCAGTGGCTGTGAAATCCTTGCTGGGCTGGGGAGGAGGTGAAAGAGGGGACAGGTATAGTTAGCCGAGCAGAAATCACAGAATTACCAAGGCTGGAAAAGACCTTTAAAATCATCAGCTCCAGCCTATGACCAACACCACATCAGTTAGACCATGGCACTAAATGCCTTTCCTTGAACACGTACAGGGATGGTGCCTCCACCACCTCCCTGGGAAGTCCATTCCAATGTCTAATCACCCTCTCTCCATGAGGAAGTGCTTCCTAATATCCAACCTAAACCTCCCAATGAGCAGGTTGAGGCCCTGCCCTCTTGTCTTGTTGCCAGTTGCCTGGAAGAAGAGCCCAGCCCCCTCCTGACCACAACCTCCCTTCAGGTGGTTGAAAGAGAGTGATAAGGTCCCCCCTGAGTCTCCTGCTCTCCAGGCTAAACAACCCCAGCTCCCTCAGCCTATCCCTGTAAGACTTTCCCTCTAGTCCCTTCACCAGCCTTGTTGCTCTCCTCTGGACCTGCTCCAGCACCTCAAGATCCTTCCTGCAGTGAGGGGCCCAGAACTGCTCACAGTACTTGGGGTGGGGCCAGTGCTGAGTACAGGGGGGGAATCACATCCCTGCTCCTGCTGGCCACACTATTCCTGATACAAGCCAGGATGCCATTGGCCTTCCAGGCCACCTGGACACACTGCTGGCTCATGTTCAGCCATCTGTAAACCAGTGCTCCCAGGTCCCTCTCTGCTGGGCTGCTCTCCAGCCACTCTTCCCCCAGTCTGTAGCTCTGCCTGGGGTTGTTGTGGCTAAAGTGGA